ATAATGCAGGATTATAAATGCATATATACAGCCTAAAAAAAGATTTAAACCAAAAATAATCTGAACTATTGACACAAAACTAGAACCAACATAACCTAAAGCAGTCTGCTACTGATTTAGTAGCAACAGCAGTAGATGACATGTAATGCTTCTAATTCACAATATGCTATATAAATGCAAATTGCAAGAGAGGCCCACAGGCCTGCACATTTTAGCTTTAATGTGTGTGCAAGCTGTGATACAGTGATTAAATGGACAAGCTGCCCCAAACTGCACCACAAATCATTGTCAGAGATGTGAAGGGACCTGCCAAATTCCTTTCAGTCCCTGGGCAGTCTGGTTAGACAGACCAGAACCATTCTTTTCCTCTACAGCAAGAGATTGTCACCCTGACAGTGCCTCTTTTCAGTGTGCCTGTGACGTACTTTTGCCCCATGACTGATAAAGCAGCAGAGGAAATCACTCAGCTTTAGCAGAAATCTCTCAGCAGTTCAGACTGGCTGCAATATGCACAAGTTTCTTTATTCAGATGTTGCAATGGCCACAGCAGTTCCTTAAATATGCCCCATGGCTCCACTGTGACACCTGAGTCTTCTGGTCTTCTTTTTCAGAAAGCCATAGAATCAAGCTGGAATTAAGTTCGAAAAGATCTCTGAGATCTTTTTAAGCTAGCATTAAGCTAATTAAGCTAGTATTGTCAAGTCCACCACTAAACCATGTCCACAAGTGCCACATCTACACATCTATTTTAAATACCTCCAGGGATGGTGACTCCACCATTTCTCTGGGCAGCCTGTTCCAGTGCTTGACAAACCATTCAGTGAGTATTGTGGTGTGTTGTTCAACCCACAGCAGACTTTGCCAAGAGGGAAGTTGCTCTGTCAGGGAGGTTCGATCAGTGGTTGCTGCCTCCTTTTGCACACAGAGGTGACTGTATCACAACATGAGGTGCTGGATTCCCAGAGTATCTGCAAATCTTTCCCCACCTTAGTGCCAAAATGAGCTGCGGTAAAGTGCAGGTCCGGTGTTCCTCATCAAACACAAGGGCTAGGGAAGATGCATTGTGGTCTTCCAGTGATATTCATAAGTAGTTCTAAGATTCTCAAAAGATATCGGATTAAATGAAATAAATTATGTCACCAAAAAGGCAGTGGTTTCACTGGATGGATGTTAAGTGCTTTTTGTGCAGCTGTACTTTCCAGTTTTCAGTGTGAGTCTTCCCTGTACATAACACGGAGGGAAAGCACACTTCAGGCACCTTGTGCAGATGCAGCAGGACAGAGGCAGCCCCAGCATGGTCTCCCCTGCATGCTTTCCCCATGATTGCCAACCGGCCTCCTGGCTGTTTGGCCTCCTGGCAAAAGCATGTGGCTTCTGCCATACTTGTGCAGTAACCACTTCCTTCTCCAGACAACAACATCCAGGCTGCTGGGCTCCAAGACCAAAATCCCTGCGAACACCTTGTCCACAATCCTATGTGCTTATCTACACGCACACCCACCTTCCTGGAGTGGGTCAATATCAAGAGATATGAAGCAGCCTCAACCACAATTTGAAAAGTGTTCCTAAGTCAGACTTAGCGATTGCCAGAGAAAGTGAGAGAGGCATTACAAAGTCTAACCATGCCTGTGCTCTGCCTCCTGGAAACAAACTAAGATGCTCTTCTTCCTGTTTCTTTCCAAAGAATGTTTGGCAAACATCTCTGGCTCCTCAGGATTGTGTTCCTGCTGTGGTGAGCTCTGGTACCCCCGGGCTCTCCCAGGGTGGGGACATGGTTGTTTTTTCCAGTGTGCTTTGATAAGCAGTGAACCACTACCAGAGCAGACACCTGTACCTGGCATTTAGCTTTCCATTACTGTGGTACTGTTTATTGCTTCTGCTCCTGCTTTGGAGTTTAATTATCTGTAATTTTTACAGATCATCTCTACTGTTAGTCCACCTCTGCATATGGAGAGGTTCTGGTTTTGTCCACCAAATCAACCACTGCAGATTGTGTAGACCAGACAACAATATATTTGGCACTTTACATCCAACCAATGTAGCAGTTAGGTATGGTCCTCAAATTCATTTTAATACCAC